AACCATGAGTACCAACATTACTTTAATTGTAAGATTACAGTAATGAATCATGCAAATCTGAAAGTAACTCTCCCCTTCCTTTTACTTTCCTGAAAATGAGGAGGTCCAATAATTGTCTACCTCTGGAGGATAATTGCCTTATTTAAATGGGGTGGAATATTTCTATCCTCAAAGAGGCATTTATGAAAGCATCTCTAATTACATCCTGGACAGATGTTACAAGCCAAATATTTAGAGGACAAATACTGGAACTTTCCATAGAAGACACATGCCCCTCTCTACATGTTGTCATCACAGGGAAGGCTGGGCATATCACTTTGAGCTTCTAAAGGAAGGCATGATATAAATCTAAGAAGTATTTAAATACAACAAATAAGTTGCTATTTGAATAAAATTCTTCATTAGAAAATTTGGAGGGAGGGACCAGGACTGCTACAAGGCTGAAAAAAATAATAATTTCCCCACACCAACCCCAGTGAGGTTCTGTTACATTCAATGTATTGAACGATCAACCTTCATTGTTCACAAAAATCTTTGGAAAGTGTCTAGAAGTACATTACAAATAGGTCAAAAGTTTTCCATGTCAAGTTTTCCTCTGTCCTCCTAACTTGTGAAATTTAAGGAAATCTTTTTCTCTCCAGGCACTTGGGATACTTTTCTTCTTTCATATTTCACAGGGGCCATTCTTGCATTTTTGACTTTTCAAAGGTTATCTTCATTTGTCATTGTGCACTTTTTAATTCTATTTTTTTTAACTTAGTTACCTGCTGATGGTGGGAACCATTACATATAGTGATTGTGGGTATATGTTATTTCCTAACTCTTCTGAGTGGACATAATTGCAATACGAAGGTACTTAAACTCAGCCTTCTCTATTCATCTCCTGCCTCCCACGCCTGAAACAGGAGATATTTCTGCAGTCTCAGAAATAGAATAGATAGCACTGTTTTCTGTTTTTATCTTTAATAAGAAATGAAATTACACAACTCGTGCACATAAGACAGCAGATATATAAGTATTTCAGCATGAAGACTTCCTCTAACCCAATCCTTATTTGTGGCTGCACAAAAAATGATTAGTACTTCTTCAAAATATATTAAACCAATTACAGAGAGAAAAAAGTTGTAGGGGGAGAGCCGTATGTATGACTGCACTAACTCAAATGTCTGGTAGCACCTTTTCAGACTAACACATTATATTAAAAAGCATAAGCTTTCAAGAGATTCATCATGTTCATGGAGAAGCTTAACTGATGTGGGTTTAAACTGAGATAGAGGAAAGGGAGAGAAAGACTGTGTGACCTTGCAACTGCGAGACAAATTATAAGAAGGAGAGAAAGAAATCCAACAAAGAGCTTCTTACCATTACTTTCAGCCTTTGGGAGACTCCACAGAAAAGTGAGGATCAGACAGAGGAGCAGCTGAGGAGCCATGGTGCCTATCGGTGGAAACGAGCACTTTGTTCTCTTTCAGGGCTGGCTATGAACAAGGTTCAAGCAAGCAGGCTTCCTGTTGTTCTGCTCCAGCCCTTATCATGTCCTCCAAAGCCTGTTTGTGTTTAGATATGGATTCTTCAGATCATTGTGCTGACTAATTCAAAATTCGGGTCTTTGCCATGCCAAGTAAGGTCATTTGAGTCAGTACAAGATTAATAGTATGGAGTAGGATGGATACCTCAAAAGAGAGCTGCCCCTCACTGTTAAGCACAGATACTGACATTTAAAGGAAGTTCACCCAGAAGTTGAAAGCAGATTATAGGGGAAGAGCTTCACTGCTCTTTGAGTTCTTCATAAAGAAACCTTAACACACTATACATCCAGAGCAACGTGTTCCAAAGAAGTCCTAGCAAATGCTAATGCTACCTATAATAAGTATACTTCTGCAATATTTGAACATAAGAGGAAATTGCATTTTGCCCCTCTTTCTTTCTCTCACACACATCCCCCAAAGCAGCAGAAAGTAGAGCACAGTAAGACATGTTTTTTCAAATCAAATCTTTATTACAATATTTGATTAGACTTCACAATAAAAGTACAGTACAGTAATTTTACAGTACAGTAAAAAAGAGAAATACTTTAACACATTTATTATTGAGAATAAGAAAAAATAGGGCAATAAAACCATATATTTAATTAAAGTTTTGGGCAGTTGTAGAACTTGGTAAAGATATTTGGCCACCTGATATGTGACGTGAGGTTACCCTTAAAAATAATAAATGTAACGTTTATCTGTGTGGCCTTCTTATTTGGAAATGATTGGAGTGATTAGAACACGTCTTGGGGCATCATAGAAAGGACACCATATGAGGACATGAGTGAGAGTTTCTATTCTGTGGCCCACAAGGGCAAAGTCTCTGCAAATAAGAAGTCCCATGAAATCTTCCTGACAGCTGAGCTAAGAGAAAGACATCAAAGCAGGCTGTGGAAAAGGCCCATCTATATTTGCTTAGGATTAGATCCTATAGCTCAGACCTGGGCATTTAATGGCCCCGTGCACATCCGGCCTTTTGGCTGCTCCTGTTCAGCCCACATAAGATCAATTTAAAATTAAAAATCCAATGTAAATAAGTATGCCACAGGGGGCAGGAGAAGAAGCCAGGTCGACTCCCTCAGTCGGCTGCTGGCCACAGGAAGGCAAGGAGAGAAAGCCCTTTTCTGAGCCTGTTCAGTGCTCAGCCTTATCTGGAGCAGCCTGAGGAGTTGTGGTGATGGAGTTTGAGCACATCAAATCAGGTTACATTGGTTTGGCCCTCCACAACAGTTCCAGTTTCTCTTGTGGCCCCTTGGGAAAATTAATTACCCACCCCCAGGATAGATACTCTGCAATAAAGGGCTTATGACTGTCTAACATTTAGCAATGTCATCCATAGGCACTGGTGATAACATTTTGATGATCAATGTCCCCGAGCAGGAGGTTGAACTAGAAGACCTCCAAGGCCCCTTCCAACTTATACTATTAACTGCAAAGTGCTTATGAGATTGGTAATTATATGACAGTAGCAGAGGCATCAGGTTTGTAGAGTCATACATGATTCTAAGTTTTTATAAACTCCTAATATTTCAAGTAACTTCCTAATTCAATCAAAGCATTTAGCCTACGTGGTGGATTAGAAGCTCTCCCTCTATCCAGTTTTGCAAAGTCTCAATTAGCTTTTCAAAATGTAGTGTGTGTTTCATTTATTAGTCTACAAATCCCCAAACAATCAGACATCAAAGGAGGCTGTATTTGACTGAGACCTCTTGCATTTTTTGATTGCTCTGGATATATATATATATCTGTGGGGAGAGGAGGAGGGCTGCAGCCAACTCGGGGAGGGACCATGGACGAACTCCAGCAATGCCGTTAGGAACGTTCCCATGGATAGGAAAATGAAGGAGAAAACTAGCGAGGGAACGCTGGGGAACGGGAGCCAGGATGAGACTATCGTAATGAAACCCCGTGGCATAGGGAAAGACAATGAGGATGTAGTTCCAAAAAAGGCCCATGGAAAGAAAGAAAGTGGGAGGAGAACGGCGACAGGGAGCGTTAGGAAAGAAAGGGAAGAGGGTAAACAGCGGAAAGATAACACACGGTCACAGGAAGAGGGGGGGAAAGTATGATGACAGGGATACAAGCAAGGAAAGCAAGAAAGCAATGGCTAGCAATACAGAAATTACTATCAAAACGCAGGTGGATTGGCTGGGACCGGTAACGAGATCTAGGAGCCGGGTGCAAAGAGCGCCATATCCATAAAAGTCTTCCCCATCGACTGGAAGTTACCCTGATGATGCTGACAGTTGCCAGCGAAAGCTTGGTATTGTGTTTTATTAAACTTTTATAGTTTTATAAACTTCCTGGTGTTCATGCATTTTTATGCCAGCTGATATGAGTTTACCCAGGAATCACCTTTCTGTTTTTAGTATTCTTGTATGTATGTATGTATGTATGTATGTATGTATGTATGTATGTATGTATGTATATATCCAGAGCAATCAAAAACACAATGAATCAAACATTTAAATATGCTTCCCAGCTCTTAAACAAATACTTGCCATGAAATTTTATGAAATTTATACACAATAGTCCCTATAACACCAGAAGTTAATTTATTTTAAATGTATTTATTTTAAAGCTAATTTAAGAAATCAATAAAGTATAAACTCAATTCAACCAGCCATATAGCAATATTTTATTGCTATATGGCTGGTTAAATTGAGTTCATACTTTATTGATTTCTTAAGTTAGCTTTAAAATAAATACATTTAAAATAAATTTTTATTTCATTTATTTTATTTATTTCAGAACATCTCTAAAATTCAAATGTGTCATTTACAGCAATGGATATAATTTGTGTATTGACAGCGTTATGCAAATGGCATGATCAGGTTATTTGGATATTTACATCATGTGCAAATAATGTGAATAAAGAAACATTTAAAGTAAATTTAAATGCCTTGTCTAGACCCATTACAGTGGTACCTTAGTACTTGGTACTGGTTCTGAGAGACACAAGTAGTAAAAATGATGAGGGCCAAACCAACCATGTGACTTACCATGTGACCTTGTTTTGGCCAGGAAGGACTTCCTGTCTGTCCCTTTTCCTATGTCAGTGACCTTCCCAGCATGGCCAACTTTCTGTCCACTGTCCCCCTCTTCCTTTTGCAGCAACCTTCCTGGCATTGCCGACTTCCTATCTGTTTTCTATGTCCATCCCCCTTTTCCTATCACAGCGCACCGAGTACCAAACAAATACTGGGACAACATTTTTGTGTCAAAATGCATCGAGTACTAAATTCAATGATTTTTGAAGTAATCGAGTACCAAAGTACCACTGTATTGTGAATGGTTGAAAGTTTTTAGCATTCAAATTATTTAAGGGCAGTTAATTAAACTGAAGTTTTACTACAGATTTAAAATGTAGAATCTAATTTAAAATATATAATCTACTTATAAGCTAAATTCAAAGGTTAAACATTATGGATTTGGACAATGAAAGGACAATGAAATTGGAAGCAATAAATATTAGGAATCTATATGATTAATTAGCCACTGATAGTATCTTATAACTTTTGTATAAACTCCATATGTTCCTAACGAAGCACACCCTTTACCCCAGCTCACAATTCCTGTCAGATACCAAGTATTTTTGTATTCAGTGACATGTGGTCCACCACTGTCACCTTCACAAGAATCTTTACTTCCATCGAGATAACCTGCACAGAACATGTTGTTGGTAATATTGAGTGTAGTGTGCAAAATGCATTCCTTTTTGTGTATTTTGGGGATTTCCACTCGCATAAGAAGTGCTGAAGTAGCCCCGCCTTCCAAGAGACGCCCCCACCCACTCACTGTGGAGAATTCAACATAGTTCAATATGTCTGCTGCAAACCGTGGAGGGGGCAAGCAGATGGGCACCACATACTCAGAGAAGTTGACTGGGGCTGATAATCGCAGCAAGGCAATGTCATTGTCAACGGTTTTGGAAGAATACTTTTCATGGATTATAAGTTCAGCAACTCTTCTTTCTTGTTCGCCTTCATCTCTCCGATTTATATTGTATTCACCTGAAAAAGCAATACTTGATTTATTTAGAAGATAACAAGTCTTTTCACAGTGCACAAGGCCTAATCTCTTCATTTTTCACTGGAAGTTAATGAATACAAAAAGTTTTATTTATTTTCTTCCTCTCTTACAACAGAAATATTTTATTTATTTTTTTCCTCTCTTTTTATAGAAAGTTTTTTTAATCTTCCTTCTCTCTTAGAATGCTGGATTACTGTTACTGACAGTGTTTACTGAATCAGGATATGCTTTCTGGAATATAAAATCTGATTTTGAGGACTCATTTTTGAGAACTGTGCAGAACATTTCAAACACAAAACTTGCTTAGTTCAAAATGGCTGTTCAAGTGTGCCAAGTTTGAGACATACCCCTATTCCAAAATTTTGTCTTGACCATGAAACAAATCCGTACTTTAGTTATTGTTTGCAGTATGTGTTCAAATGAATCCATTGCTGCTGCTGCTGATTTGCTATACTTACATCTAATGCTGTCTGACATTGGCTGCAAAATACATACTTAACTGCTGTTGTCATGTCATGGGCTTTCTATCATTATTGTTATAAGATGCCTTGGGTGCAATCCTAAAACAACTGGAGCATCAATTGAACACCATCAGCACTGATAAAATCACTACCAGTCAATTGCAAAAGGCAGCTTTACTTAGAATAGCTTATATTCTGTGACAATACCTTTAACACAACCTAACATTCACATCCTGCCTATCCCAGGTTCCACTCAATAGGTGGGAAAAAATGCCAAATCTAATCTAAACATCTGGCTGACTGGACAGTGAACCATAATGATAATATTTATTTTAAACACCTCCTTGCCAGTTGTCTGGAGATTGCATTGTAGTTAGTGCTCTTAAAGTGGTACCACCTTACTTATGTTTGTGACCCTAGGATGAAGAACAAGGGGATAAAGACTTTATTTCAGTTTCACATTGTTCCTTATTTTGGAATGCTACAAACTATTTCAAATATTTTTTTTATTATTTCAGACTAGGAACTATTCAAAGAAGTCATATAAAGCCAAATAGTTCGTGTGCAGGAGCAATTGATATGAAAATAGATGTTTAAAGATATAGGTGAAATTAATGAGATAGGCCTTCTTGTGATTTTCCCTTCTCAATTTCACTGAGATTTAGAAAGTTAACAAAAACCATCTTACCAAGCCTTATCCTGAGATTTTGTCGGTGGACAAGATGAAAGCAGTGGGCTGCTGAAATGATCCAGGATGGAGCAACCAGAACACCTCCACATTTTTCATTTCCATTGTGTATTATGAGAGCCTAAATATTTGATAATCAAATCATATGATTTACTTGCATGTTATGAAGGAATAATTTTGCTGTATCATCCAGACCAGAGAACAGATGAATAAGCATATTTAGGTTAAAGGATGCATTCAATTTTGTGTGATGTGCCAAGGGCTGCACTCAAAAAGGGGGCAATGGGAGAAAAGGAAGGATAAATAAAGGGCAAGGCCTCTTATCTATCACAACATTCTGCATAGTTTCAGTATTTTATAAATTTGTTTTTGTGCACTATAGTTAATCTATTTCTTTTGAAACTAGTGATCTGACCTACATTCTCCTAACATACCTTGCAAAGTACAAAGAAAGTGGGTGGATGCCTATACAAATGTGAGTGATTCAACTGATTTTAATTTAAAGTGTATTAAATTCTTACAAGCACTTACTTGCCATGGACATTCGCCTGGAGGACAGTCATAACCACCTATGATTCTTCCTTGTCGATTTGGCCTTTCTGCGAGAACAGGTATTTTCCCACAGGGATAATCAACTGTAATATTACAGTCAGAATAATATTTCAAAACCACATTAAATATTTTCAAGCAAATCAATATTTTGAGCTGTAGTACTGTGAATGCTTTTTAAAGTCAAAATATGCAGACTTCTTTATTCACACAGATATTTACCCATACACATTCATACACACACATGTAGGCATATACATATAGGCACATACACAAACACACACACAGCAAAAACTCTATTTCTGTAGCCCCGCTTAACAGAAATACTGCAATATTTCAGTTGTAATAATAACTGTCTATTTGCTGTTCGTTGTCTATAATTTCATGTTCTTAATCGTGTTCAATTATGTTCCTGTGTGAATTGCTATCTTTCCTTTTCTGTCAAATAAAAAATCATTAATTATAAAAATTAATGGTAGCCAATGGTGAATTTCTCCTTTTCCTTCTTCTGAAACAGTTTTGTGATTTCCAGTTTAGATGACAATATTTGAAAGTGAAACAACTCCCTGAGATATGAACTTCCCCAAACAAAGCTCTTTCTTGTAGAGAGAGTATTGAATTGCATTTTCCAGAAATGCTACTGGCTCAAACAGTTGAGGAGCACGTAAAATTGATGTTTCCCATAAAATCAAGGCTGTCTCATAGGGATCCAATTATTTATGGTCCTTTAGGATTGGACACCAAGAAGGCATCAGACAACTGTCTTCACTGTAAAAAGTTCTTATTCTCACCCACCACCACCTTCTCTGCCCAATTTTGCCTCATGCAGGCAGAACCACGACTTAGTCCCTGGCATCTCCTGGTTGGTGAAAGATGCCTATTTGAAGCCATGAAGAATGCCAGCATGACATGGCATGAGGCATTTCCCTCCCAGTGCAAATGAGATGTCCTAATGATGAGCTCTGGCCAAGGGTTTGAATGTTGGCTCCACAGGCTACTCCTGCTTTCCATATTGAGATCAGTATTTCAATACTGAGACTGATAAAATTAGAACAGGCTGGAAGCTGACCACTTATGTAATTCATTCTACCATTGTGACCAGTTCATTGTATGTCAATTAATAGTAAAAACGCATCTATCTATACCAATGTTTCTCCACCTTAGCAATTTTAAGATGTCTGGAGTTCAATTCCCAATATTCCCCAGCAGGCAACCAATGTTGTCAAGGTTGGGAAACACTGGTCTATACTTCGGCATCTATCTGGAAAGGAATATCATGACCATACAATGGTGTGATGGCTCACGCTTACCTTCTGCAATGCATGAAATTTGGTCACTTGCTAGCCTGTATCCCTCTGCACAAAAGCACTGCCTTAATGTGGTTGGGGAATCTACACAAAACTGCTCACAATTGCCATTTTTAAAAAAGCATTTCAACTTGCTTTCTGGTCCTAAATATAGAGAAAAAGATGTGAATTAACATTTCCTGGTTTGGGTAGAAAAGTATTTGCCGCTGGCAAAGAACTTTAAGAAGTCAGATTCTGGAACAGGAGCTTCCATGTTCTTGATTCTAAGGAAGAATGGAAAACAGAGTTAATTGGAATTGGCATTCATATAGCCCCCTTAGAAGGAAGGATACTGCTTGCTAATGAATTTGCATCACCATTGTTTTGGACTGCAGAGTTATGCAAATCTGGATAAGCACCTGCCTCCAAAAATCTAGACTTTTTAATAAACAGCTGAGAGAATATGGAATGACGACTAATCATCAGGGGCACAACCCTTGCTATTTTTTTACCAAGTTAATAAGCATTTACCTATTTCACAGTTTCTGCCTTCATGTTTTGGAGAACAAATGCAAAAATAGTCTTGATATCTATCAATGCAGGTCCCACCGTTCTGACAAGGGTTGGAGTCACACTGATCAGGATCTGTGAAAATGAGCACTCAACATTAGCACACATTTTAGGAAGGCATTTGTGGCAGAATTGGCTAATTGGTGTTAACATGAATAACCCTTACCTGTATAAATTGCCCAGAATTCTTTCTAAGAAGAAAGAAAAAGATAAAGCAAATTATACAACACTTATGTTAATTTTTTTCACAAGAAAAGTAATATCTGGATCAATCCCACCAAACTAATATTCCCTAGGGTGTTCTACACTACAATTCCTACAATGCTTAGTGATTAGCTATGCTGTCTGAGAGTGATAAGAAGAGTAATCCAAAATAAATGGAAGGAACCAATTCAGAGAAAAATCGCCAACATAGAAACAAGGAGATTTCCAAGCGATCAGCTTCAGCTTTAATATACAGAAACAGGAATTCTTCCATCACTAATTCTGATAATCAAGTTTTGCTCTTAAAATAAATTATTAGTTAGAAATGTTTTGGGGATCCTTGACACTTTCCATTCATGTATTCAGCAATTTATCCTGACGTAAATTAAGCAAAGGAATTATATTGTTCTTTTGCTTAAGTTGGCTTTAGCTCCTTTGATCTGCATTCTGTATGATCAATAACAGAAAATGCTGGGAGCTGTTTAACAACATCTAGGAAGAGAGATTTTTTTCTAAAGCTAGCTTAGTAAAAGTGCCTCAAAATATCCTAACAGTTTAAAGTGATGTTCTACTACCAGACGTAGCATATGAAATGAAATTGATACGTATCTGCTTCATATTCATATATTTTTCTTATGTAGCATATACATATACAGGGAATCACAACTCCTTTTAACACAGATTGTGCCATTACTGTACACATGAACTATCAAAATATCATTTTGTGTTTCCTTTCATAACCAGCCAGAATTACCAAACAATTAAGTTGGCAAATCTAACTTTGACATTTTGGTTTGCATGCAAGTGCAGACAATATATTTTCTGGGCTAAATGCATGGAAGCTAAGGTTTGAAATCAAAGTAGTGATGGTGTTGATGGAAAGTAAGCCTAAGTCAAGGTAGGGAAAAAATGCTGTTTGGTTCTTGTTCAAATACAATTTATTCCATTACAATTCTTTAAACCTGCATTAGCTACTTGGTACTGTAGATTACGTCAGGTGACTTGGACCTTTCACTTAGCATAATCTGAACAACTGTTCTTTCTTTCTGAAGAAGATAACTATAGGAGATCGTAGCCTCCTCTACATTCAAACAGTTCACAATTTCTTTGGCACTTCCATACTTACCTTTTCAACCACTAGCTTCAAACAGCATTAGGCCTCTGCACAAGTGCCTTTTGCTTGTTTGAGCCAGTCAGTGCTCTCTTTAGCCAATTTTAGGGAATGCCAAAACCAAGACACAGTTGGCATCCCACTCCCTCACCAAAACAAGGTGTCAAAATTTGACAAACAGGAAAGCTTTGGTTCTGGAAGAAAGGAAGAATCTGAAAATCAGGAAGAGGATGAGATGGAACTCCTACTAATCATAGGCTCTCAGCCTGCAGCTATTGGAAAATTGTTGTTGCTTCTGGATAGAAAATAGCCAGAATTAATCATTCCACTTTTTGAATGTTTGAAGTCCTGCTTTGTTGTGATATTATATAGGGATTATGGTTGGCATCACAGAGCCTCTCTCTGAGGGAGATGGGTGGTTAAGAAATATGAAATATAAACAAACAAATAAACAAATAAATATCCTGGAATGTGAAATGGCCTTTAGTCTGTCTTATTGAGATTTGCTTTGAGATCCTATGTAGTCATTAACAAGCCGTCTGCAGGAACTGGTTCAGGCCTTGGATTCTCCTAATACTTTAGATTTTTTTAAAAATAAAGTTATTCCCTACCTCTACCCTAAAAGTATATTTTGAAAACATTCTGCCTAGATAATACTTAGAACTACTTTGGCCTATAGAAGTTCTACCCTTTCTTTTTGTACATATTTCCTTTTCTGGATGTGCATCAAGATATGGCCCAGAAGAAGGGCAAGTGTGGTGTGATAAGGAGGTTACAGACCAGACTTGTTGCCTGTTGGCCAACAGGACAAAGGTGAGAAATCTACTAGGGATACACATAAGGAACCATCTTTGGAAGAAAGAAATTGGAAGAGAATACAACTTAGAGTGATTCAGCTTTTCCCATTCTTTGATGCCTTTATGAATGAATTCTTCCAAAGTGTGATAGCCCAGTTTAGATTTTGTATAAGTGCTACATGGCTATGTGAGATCTGAGGAGTGGTTTAGAATTTGTTTGTGAGAATTTATAATAATATGCCACGGTTTGTAGTACTCATTTAGTATTCTAAATGAAATGTCTTCAACAGTATTCCTGGTATGTCCTATATTTTGACTCTATTTACTCTTTATAATAACAACAGACTTAT